ACTTGACACAGGATTGCCACAAACCTTCAATTTGTAAAGAAAACAGTATCTGTGAGCACAGTAAAGCCAAGTATGCAATTAAAGAGCAATAGAATGAGGTATGCCTCGACATTTTCTTCACCAAGGAATGCCTATGTGACATTTATACTGACTTTCCTATAATGATCTTTGAAGACTAAATAAATATAATTACATCAGCACTAACCAATCTGAGTATTTACCATTTCTAAGTACATGACTCAAGCATTTCTGTTACTCAGTACAGAGAATACATACACAATATAATTTTTTTGTAATACTTTATGCTAACAATTCAGTCTTTTATGACATTAATTTTAAGAGCTAGACTTGTTGATCTGATTTGGTGGATGCTAGTATTTTGGATTTCATGGGATGTTAAAATGAAAAAAATTAAGAAGACCCCAAAATACCAAGGAAGAACATTATTTTATAAATGAAAGGATATTTTAAAACTAGAAAGATAGGAAGGACAAAAATCCGGAATAAAGGACATAGTTTAGACTGGTAAGATTTAGCATTAGGAAATCCTTATGCCAGTTTCCTTATTTTTCTCATTTTGACAAATACTAGTAAAACTCTGACACAGGCTAGTTAATGGGAACCATTGCTGTATGTGCCACAGGTCTATACACATTACTTAGGTCAACTCTGTGACCATATAAATTCAATGAAACTTGAAAATAAGCAACTTACAGTTCGTCTCTAAGCCTTCTTATCTTGGCTTTAGCATCTGCCAGTTGTTGACTTTCTGTTTGCTTCATGCCTGGAGAACCACAGGGTGACTGTACAGATGAAGAGGCATGGGGTAGAAAGTGAAGACCATCTTGCTCTTCAGAGAGTTCTATGATAGTCTAAGGCAATACAGAAATAAACACAGATTCACTTTTAGTATTCTAGGTTATGAGAACATCAACATGATTCACTGCACGTAGTACTGTACTACAATATGAAAAACAACTCATTGGTCCAAAAATATCTTAACTTTGTGATACGTAGCTCTCATTTTTAAAAGTTTCATTCAACAGTTTATGGATAAGCTATTTAGTTGACAGTACTAGAAGACAACTTACTATTTCTTTCCTTCCTAGTTCTTTTAAGAAATCAATTGTGATAAAAGTAACTATTCCGATAGCAATGTTGGAAAGGCATAGGAAAATGACATAGAAAAAAAATTAACCCAAGAGTGATAGGTCTACAACTGTCCTGGCCAATATTGTAGCCAATAGCACAAGTAGCTATTTAATTAAAATGTTCTCAAGTTAAAAACAAGGTTCCTTCCTTGTCATACTAGCCACCTTTCAAGTGAATAATGGCCATATATAACAAGTGGTTACCGTGCTGCACAGAGCAGAAATACAATCTTGCCATCACTGCAGAACTGGACAATGCTCTAGAACTGACCTAACAGGGGCCTGGCAGGGACCTAATAGGACCTCAGAAGTTTAGTTCAATTTCTTAATTCTGCAAGTAAGGTAACTGAGTCACAGAAATTGATTTGCTTATGATCACACAAGCTAGTAGCAAGCAATGCCAAGACTCTAGGCCAGTCTCTTGACTCCATCTTATGCTCTCCTCTTACAGTACTGGTCCAATCTGCTTCCCATGTCAGTGCTACTTTTATTTCTTTGTCTAAAGACCCTCTATGGGACACCAATCTCCTTCTACTTAACCTAGACCTGAACTTTAAAGGGCTATTTAACCTACATGTACTTCATTCAATCATATTCTCTAATTTTCCTTTTTGAAAACTCTCTTTATTCTAGACTAATTTCTCAGGTTTTCTTTCAAACTTTGCAGGCAAACAGAAATTGTCTTCAACAGCAACTTCAACTGTCCTGCTCCAGAATGGGTGGGAATACCACCTTGGGGCCATGAAATCACAATCCTCACTTTGCTTCTCATCACCAAGTCTTATAATGCCCTCACTGAATCATTACTTTTCTTCTTTTTTTTAACCACTCATCACAATCCATTTCTTTATCCTTTGGATTTTTTTTTTCAGCACCTGAATCAAGGTCTGTCTAACTATTGCTTTTACAGATTCCACTATGCCTACTAATAAACCACAGAGTGCGGCTTCCCAGTTCCTTTTCTCTCTACAACTCCACATCCACTCACTATTCAATAAATAGAGGTTTCTCCATGAGAGAACCATTCCCCTTTTCTGCCATGTTTCATACAATCATTACTCCCAAGTCAATGTATCTATCCTAAACCTTGAATCACTCAATTCCCGCTTTTTGCCCACTCAAAAAGATTATTCTTTTACTCTAGAGTTCCTACTTAGCCTGGAACTGCAATTTAGCCCTTAAGTATCACCCTTACTTTTGAATTTAATACTATCATTCCATTCTTTGACTCTGAATCACATTGGGGAACAAAGAAAAGCGTATGAATATTTAGAGAACTTTTAGCTAGGGGATTTTCCTATAAGAGCTCATTCAATATTATAATCTGCAATAGAGATATGTCTGTACACATAAGGAAACTGAGGTTCATATAGATTAAATAACCAAAGTCACATATCTAATGGTAGTTAACAAGAATTCAAATTAAAGTTTGACTAAAACACTATGTTATTTTTCTATCATTAGTTTTTCTATTCCTGCTCCAAGGTGATAAAGAACTCTATAAGAAAAAGAAAAACAAAAAAATAGACAGCACTGATACAGATCACGACATCCATTTTCAAGTATGTTCTTTGTAATGCCCATCAACTGCTTTATTGGAAATCTTGCTCAGTTCCTGGCAAATGTCCTTATCCAGCATAGTAGTGGGCACAAAAAGAGTTGTTCATAATTATTTAACTAAATGACTCACAAATGGAAAACTCAAGTGAAGTACTGAAGACACATACTCCATTTGAACTTAGTTAAGTAGTGAAATAGAGATTATTGAGAGCTTCCAGATGCCAACAGATTACAAAAGAACTATGGAGAGCAAACTATTTTTTAAAAATAAAAAAAGAAACCTGGTACTACGAATTAAGAGTATCCAGAAGTATTTTTAACTACGATTACATAGTATTTTGACTTCTAATGGTGACAGTTTCTTGAGCTCAGAGCTTCCAAACATTTCAAAAAAATCTGAGAGGAAATGGTATTAAAGCATAACTTTAATTTCATAAGTCACCTCTCGTCCTTCTGACCCTAGACATTCTGCTAGCAGTTGCAAATCACATCTTCTTTCTTTAAATTCCTACAGTATTTAGTTAGATGTCTCATTTGGTAATTATCACTTTTAAAATTTTATTAGAGTTAATTGTTATTAAAATAACTTCCCTACTTGATTGTAACAATCTATGCTTCTTTTTGAAAGTTAGTTTGTTGCTCCAACGCACTCTTAGTACAAGACCTTGCAAAAAGCAGGGGCTTACAAATATATCAGAATGAACACAAAAATACATTATCAAGGCTGAGAATAAAATTCAGGTGACCTAATAATTCTACTTATAGCACTCATCATTAAGGAAAATAATCAAAGATTTGTTTCAGGTAAAGGTGGATTTAGACAAAGGTATTATAATGGTTAGTTAGGAACACAAGCATTGGAATTAGACTTGGCAAGTTATTTAACTTCTCTGAGTTTGAACATCCTCATCTATAAAATGGGGTTATTGCATAGAATTGATAAGATAGTATTGGATAAACTTATAACACAAAGCTTGGCAAAAATCTAAACAGCAATAATGAAGAGATCTTAAATTTAGTAAGCTCTCCTATTTGGTTCTTAATAAAAGGAGATGATTAAACAGATACTTGTTCTACAGAAGTAAGAATAAAAAAGTGAAGAGTAATTAAAAACAGGGTGACCACACTATACTTTCTAGATTGAAGAGACAATTAAGACAAAAGATCAATTAGTACAGAAAAAAAGCGCTCTGTTCTAAACAGAGAGAGCAACCCCAGTGGGCAGCTTGCAGTTGCCAATACTGACTGAAAAATGACGTCTCACTCATGCCATGCCCGCAAATGTAGGGTGCTTAAGTGCATAGATGGTGCCTATTTTAACTCCCAGTGACACGACTACTATTCACCAGGGTACACATTATAGGTTTGTATAGAGTATGGAGTAGACTTTCAATATTTATTTGTTGAAATATATTTAAGTGGAAGCAGTCATGTGTATGGATAGGGTGGAGCTGTCAACCAGTCTCTTGTGTTCATATGGAACCTCCTAGAATCAAATGCCCACTAATGCAACCAAATAAACTGACAGTCCATGTGTCCAGGGAGACTCCTGAGGGAAGAAACACATCAGACAACATTTTAACTGATGTTATTCTCAAAGGCATCCTCCCAGACTTGAATTTTCAAGGAGACCACAAGATCCAGTACACAGTTCAGAACAGGGCCAAGAAGAAGGGTATTTGCAAGGAAGACACACTAGCAGAAACTCAACTCTCCAGAGAATGGTTACATAAAGTGCCCCAGCAACAGCCATAATTACAGACCCACCTGTAGGTCCTACTGCTACAGACCTTCTGCATTATTGGCTATGAACTACAGGGTATCCCTGACCAAGTCTGTCAGTCCAACCTGGCTTGGTCTGGCACAGAGCCCCCGTGTACAGCCATGAATGTCAATGTGGGTGTCAGAATAGCAGTTTTCTGACTCCTGGATCAGTTTTATCAGAAAAGGAGGGTCCTCACGGTGTCCACACCCATAGCTGGAAACCTCTTCTGGCTGCAGCTGGGAATG